AAAATATTTGCCTTACTGAGTTATGTTTGTCTAAGAGATTTCTTGACAGATTCCAATTTACGAAGTATTCTACACCTTTTGTCTAGCTTGACTCCCTCAATTCCAGCATGGTCAAAGTTCTAGACAAAAGTGGTTGTTTCACTATAACTCACTTTCGTTTACGTTCCCCTTGAAGAGACGAGTTCTTAAAACCTTTTCTTTTTGCTTCTAGTTCTCAACTTAGTTATATTTTCAACAGCCATCTTTTATCATTTGATGATCTGCAAAACTTCTTTGAAGTCTCCAATGGGAACATTCCCTCACTCAATAACTTTCTTATTTTGTGTTTTTCAGCATTTGTTAGATCCTTTCCATTACTCATGTTTCAACATATAGTATAGAAAGAAAAATAGATTTTCTTAGATTTCAGAGACCTTAAACTAATATTAGTTTAAATTGTATAACTTGTTCAATTCATTTTCATAAATTGCAATTATCTCGAAATATAACCATTAAAAAGGACTATAAATTTCGTTAGAGATTTTAACAAGGGTGGAAATGGACTAGTTTATGGTTGACAAATATTGATTGTGAACATTTTAGGTTATTGAAGTTTATGTTACTAGAATTTGTTTTGACGGGTGTTGAAATCGACACAGCATTTAGTATTTATGAAGTTACCGCTTTCTCTGCTGATTTGAAATCCCCCCCCCTGCTGTGTTTATATTTACGGTGCTATTACTATGTATTATATTTTACTACAATTAGATATATAAATAAACTTAAAGAAAAGATATGTAAAAAGCAATGTTGCATTTTTATTAAATAAATTTGTTACTTTAATCATTAAATTGCATTTAAAATAGTGAAAGTATTTTCTGTGTTAAATAATAAAACTTTTAATTTTTCCAAAAAATTTAATAAAATATTAAGAGGATTCATACCTTTTCCCTTGGGAAAAATCTGCCTCATCAGTCCTGAATCGAAAGATACATGATCACCTACGCGTGTCACGCATGGCACATAACTGACTGACTGACTTTTCAGTCGAATCCATTACATTCACTTACGTGCTAAAACCCTTGGGAAAGGTATGAATCCTCTTCTTTTCCCTCCCCCATCTAGCTATGGGGGTTTTATAGCCTTGATTGCAACTGGCAACCTACTGAGGGAAAAATCTGTCTCGTCAGTCATGTATCGAAAGATACATGATCACCTACGCGTGTATCACGCATGGCACATAATTAAATGAATGACCTTCCAGTCGAATCCATTACATTCACTTACGTGCTTATACCCTTGGGAAAGGTATGAATCCTCTTCTTCTCCTCCCAGCTATGGGTAAATAGCAGGACAGACTGGGTTCTCTAGCCTTGGAAGGCAACTGGTCTACCGCAGAAAGAAATGGTAACCTACTGCGAGAAAAATCTGCCTCGTCAGTCATGTATCGAAAGATACATGATCGCCTAAGCGTGTATCACGTATGGTACATATCTGACTGACTGTACTAAGCTACGCACTCTAGTAAAAGCAACTGTACTTTGTACTCCCACCCTTACCTGTTTGAACTCCCAACAAAAAAAAAATGGTTTCGATCAGTCAATTTTAGAGGGTTTGATAGACGGACTAACGAAAATCACAGAATTTTATATATAGAAATATAGATTTACATAAAAACTTCAGACGGATCTTGTTTTACAAAATATCCCTTTACTGTTCGCTTTTGTAAGACGCAAATGTAGAATTATAGTTTGTGTAAAGCTCAGTCAGTATCTGTCTATATTTCTATGAGCGTACAACGGCCAAAACGTTGTAATAAATATGGCGACAAAGATGAGGACAATAGTCCGAATAGTGTAAATAATGTAAAGTTCGGTATTTCAACAATTAAAATCTATTCATCTGTACTCCCAATTTCCCTGTGAAACCCTAAAATTATCCTCTGAGGAAATTCTTCCTGGTTCAAAACTAAACTGATATATACTATCTCACCTGGCTCACGACGAGGATTCATCTTGCTTGTCAATCCTTATTTTTGACGTTTTTACAATATGCAAGAAGAGAGATGCAAATACTTTTTTATTTAATTAATAAACGTTTTATCAACTTCGAACAAAATTATACTTATTACGAAACAAATCTGGGAAAGAAAGGACAGTTCGTATTATTTGGCTTTTGCGAATTATAAAGTAAACAATTATATTGGTTACGCCAAAATGTGAAATATATGCGTCGTCTATACCAGTATTTCGCAGGGTTCCGCAAAAGATCGCATTTTTGAGTAATTTTTGTTTAATTTTATATTCGTAATTTTGCTATACATGTACAGCATATTGTTGGAAATTCCTTGGTTATTATAATAAAGGCTTCAACCTCTTCATCATCATTTATTCAGTTAGCGTATTTTGCGCCACTGTGGTCAGGTCTCCGTCTGTTGTAATTGTGGTTCATGGTGACAATGGCAATGGTTAGCTGGTTCCTTTTGCACTGGGGCTGTTTGGGGTTATCCTATCCCTCCTCTCAGAAGTTCCCCCGCCCACTGATAAAGCCGTTGACCTCTTATATTATTTACAATTATGATATTCACAAGGAATGTATTTTGCTGATGTCAGTGTGAAACCACACCTCCACTGGTTAGTGAACAGGACCTAAACGTAGCGGATTCGTGTATCATTGAATGACTCACTCAAGTACAGGATGTATGCACGGTGTCTATAAATTTACCACGTGAACTACAATAAAATTATAAAAGAGGTAGATACTAAAAATGATAAATAATAATTTTTATACTGGGGTTTCCCTGAGACATGAAAACTATTTCAAAGGTTCCATAAGGGTAAAATGGCTGGTTTCTTGTATTCAGTAACATTCTGGGAATTACGAATCGAACAAATTACTGGGTTATTCGTTCTTCCTTTTTCGCTTTTATTTTTAAAAAAATGTTTAGAGAGGCTACTGGGAAAAAGTGAGTGACCAACCTTGTTTCTATCTCTGTATTGCTCTAAGTTCAAGTAATGTATTTTGTATATAATGAAACAGTAATTATTTGAAACATTTTTCCAGGGGTGGCATGAAAAAAATATTGATATTAATATGTATTATGCATTATCCCTATTTTGTGTTTTACCGTTGTGGCCTTGTTCAAATGCCTCGTCCCTGCAAAAGGTCACAAGGAGTTCCGCGATAAACAGTCATAAATAGACTAATGCATTTTTGAGAATTTTTTTTTAATTTTATATTCGTAATTTTACTCTACATAGTGTTGGAAACTCGTTGCCTATTATAATAAAGGTTTCAACTTCTTATATTATTTAAAATTATAATAGGGAATGTATTTAGTGATGTCAGTGTGAAACCGCCTTGTATCTTTGAATGACTCACTTGAAAAAAGAATGCACGCACGCTGTTCATGTATTATATTTATCAGGTAAACTACGATGAAAATATAAAAGGGAAAGATATTAATAATGGTATATAATAACTTTTATGAAGGGCTTCCCTGACACATGAAAACTATTTCAAGGGTTTCAAAGTAGAGAAATACTGCTCTATATACAATTCCTATTTTCATCTATACAACTGGTTAGCGATTAACATAAATGATAATCTGTCATTATGTCAAGAGCTTTTTTATTTAAAAAAGGCATGTCTGCTGATTTTATTTACGGGTAACACAATAGAGTTTCCTTTTTCAAATAATCTTTTATGTGCTGTGTCCCATCAGGATGTGGACGATCATACCCACCAACCACGACCACCACAACAACTTTGTATTCTTCGAAGCACTTAACAATGTTTGTCTTTTTAATACCCTGTCAATCCCTGTTCTGCCATCCAATTACACAAGCTTGTTAGGTAGGCGACTTGCTTTTTTCTCCTGTCTCTTTTACCTCCGGTAAGTCATATGAGTGTTATATTTCTCTAACCTTCATTCCTCATTATGTGTCCTAGAGATTTCAACAGTTTATTTCTGATTCCAAGTATAAGTGTTCTTTTTGTTTCCATTTCCTTTAAAACCTTCTCATTGCTCCCATGCTCCATCCATGACATTCTCATCATCCTTCAGTGGAACCTCATCTCAGGTTCCTCCTGAATTGTGAAGAAATTATCCGACATTTACTACTACATTTACAACATTTACATCTAGATTTAAAGGATTGATATGACAATAATTCAGTACTCTTTTCATTGTTTTTTTTTTTACGAAATTTTTCTGTTACTTAACATTATACTATAAAGTACATACATTCTATCAATAACACTTAAAATAATTCCTGACCATTGACACATTTTCCTGATTTTCAATGCATTTCTCTAATAAAAATCATTAACAGTGTATTTGCATCGTAATAGCTCGATTCTGTCAGTATCGTTTTGCATTAATTCCTGCCTGTCGACAATCTTTTTTTCTGATTTTCAATGCTCAACTCACAAACTGCGAAATCCAGTATTTAATCAACTTTAAAATATTTCATTTGTTAGCGCTGAAAATGAATAAAGCTAAACATGGGAGTCAATGAGTATCGGTAGAAGCAATGGTTAATGATAAATAGCGTCAAAATAATGCATTACATATACGCAATCAGTGCTAAACATCAACTATAACGTTTTGTTTTGTTATTCTTCTTTCCGCCAGGATTCGACATGATATAACATGAGGAGGATCTGAAAAGTTCTTAGCCCGGCCCTCTTCTAAAAATCGGATCAAACATATTTTTTATTCCTTCTTAGTCGAGTGAAAGATTTTCAGCACCCCTAGCCTGAATTAATTCATCCATTTTTTACGGCTTATCAATCTTTGCTGGTTATTTGAAATCAGACTATATTTTTTGATTATAAGATTTTTTTTTTGTTTAGCTATAATAATAATTTACTGATACAAGTTCTACTAATTAACCCATAGCTAGGGAGAGTAGAGGCAGATTCATATCTTTCAACAGCATATTTTTCATGTAAGTGAAAATAACGAACCCGACTGGAATTAGAACTTGGCCCTCCATTACACTACCCCAATATCCAAGCTTACAGCACCTGGTATTCCCAAGCGGTCACCCACCTACTTACTAACCTGGCCTGGGGTTGCTTAATTTCGGTGATTGTACAAGAACCGGTGTTTCAATAAAGGGAATAAACATTCGATTCCTGTCGGAAGGCACATTTTCATAAGACTTTTGAGCTCTAGGCCAGTAGACATTGATTTAATTGTTTAAAAAACAACTGGGATGTCTACTTAAACACATGTACATACTTAATATAACATTTATTTGAGTTGTAAGAAATAGTGCCGGGTTAAAAAAAATTCAATAATTGCCGAAAAATATGTTTACGTTCCAGGTAGGAAAATAAAGTTATCTGATATAGATTTCAAAAGTACCCCCTCCTCAACAAGATTTTTCTTAAATAGGATAATCGAGGACTGCAGGACTGTAATGTCTACTCGAAGCTTAATAATGAAATGCTGACAAATACTGAAGGTGTTTCTCCAAAGTTATAAAGCAATGTTTCTCAACCTTTTTAAGCAACGGCACACCTAGGAGCACACTTAGCAAAATTTTTAAAGGGCATACATTTAAATGCTATGAAATAAAACCATAGATTTTTTTTTTTAAATACACACAGATGTTTCTATTCAACTACTTGTGCCGCTTATTTAGTGTTAAACCATGCCTGGTGTTTTTTGGCAATTTCTTAAGCAGAGCCTCATTTCTTCTTCAGTTGAGCGTAGTCTTTCTTGTTTCTTATTTTTGACGTTATTTAGGGTTAAGAAGCGTAATTCATATAAATAAGAAGTAAAAAGTTGCAATAAAACTGATAAAGCCTTTTTAGCTAATGTGAGATATTTCTTTTCTATTGAAATCTAAAATGTATCAATGTTTTATTTTGAACTCTCAATCACTAGAAATGGTTAAAAGGTTTTAAAAAATTCAAATTAAAAACATAAAAATAGTTTTTAAAAAATGAACATTAAAACAAAGTATGTAAAATAACATAATCGAAGAATAATGAATAAAATTATTTGATAAAAAAGTTTAATACTTATTCATTTATTCAAATACTAACACGGTATCATTACTACTTACACGCACACAGACACATACATACACACACACACACACGCACACACACACACATATATGTATATCGTGACAATATTTCGCGTCACACTTAAGAGGATTGTGAGGCACATTAGTTTGCCGTTGCACGGCGGTTGAGAATCACTGTTATAAAAGAAATCCACGTTCAATTCCACTTAGGAGATATATTTCCTTTAATATGACCTTCGACCAGAAAATATTACTTTTACTGTTTAGAAATAGGATGTATACGTGTACCAACAATATATAACATTTATAGTAGTAAGAAAATATATATATATATATATATATATATCCAAGTACGATGAGAACGAATAGAGTATAGAGTACAATTCCAACGGCCGTAACATTTAATTTAAAAGAGGGCTCAATACAAAGTAGAACAATGTCATTTCCATATATATATATATATATATATATATATATATATATATATATATATATATATATATATATATATATATATATATATATATATATATATATATATATATATATATATATATATATATATAAAAAATGGACGGTTCCGTAAAGGATACAGGTTCGAATCCTCTCGGAGGGCCGAATATTTTCTCTGAAAATTTCTCAGTTTTTACCAATTTTCTTCGACCATCACCTTTGTAGCAAACCCATACCATTACTCGCCTTCCACCAAATTTCATCGTCTTTGTGGCATGTATTTTGCATTGTTTCTTTCTCTCACTGATCTTCTTATATATTCTCTTGCATAAGAACGTAACTCTATTTTGCATGCATCTCTAAAAATTACTTTTGTCACTCTCCCGCATCCCATGCTAGATATTCTTTTAACGACTTCAATCTTCTATTTCGATATTTTGGTTATTTTTTTTAATCAGAATCACCCCAATCAAGGCAGTAATGCCACTAAAGCACGAGGGGTTACAGCGTGTGGAAGAATTAGCAACAAAAACATTAAAGATGAGCAAATAGAGAAGATAATGATCAGCTGGACAATAGATAGCGATTGACATGGCATTTAATTTTTTGGAGATTAAAGTTGGCTGTAAAGTATGGAACCGGAAGCACAAGCAAGAAGTACGAGAAAAGGAACTGTTAGCATAGAAATTGCGGCTACATCTAGCCAGCTTAACTATAATTTAGCCAGCTTAACTATAAATTAGTGTTCCAGTCGAGTGCTGCGGTTAAATTAAAAAATACTAGGTACCATAGCGAAGTGATCATTCGAACAATTGCCATGAAAATATTTATAGAAGAGAGAGGCAACCTTACAGCGGTAGGAAAGTGACTGAAGCCGAGCCTCCAGATCAGGACCAATAATATTGCAGATTCTTTTTTGGATCTTATCAAGGAGCTCAAATTATGGGCACCGGACCATATGTGACAGCAATATTCTAAGTAGGGACGAATGGTAGACATAGATATAATGGCTTCTTGTGCTATATGACTATTCTAATTGTTTTTCATAATAATCTGCCTAATCTATCAAATGAAACCTCACTGTTAACCAGCATTCACTCCACATTTGTGTGGCTGTTAATTTTGGATTGCCTACTGAAGCACTCACAATATTTCTTGATATCTCTCATGTTTTTGTAGTTTTCCGGTTTTCTTTGCACTTGAAATACTTGCAGTAGTAACAGACGTCTTTTAGATGATTTGGATACTGTTTCTAGATATTTCCAGCCATTTGACTATTTCTCGTTGAGTTATTTTCAACTTCAAGTCGCGATCTTCATCTTTGTTTCAGCAGAAATTTTATCCATGATTTTGATATAAAAAATTAAGCTAATATCTAACTACAATGACCTGCCAGGGTACCTTACGCAAATGTTAATTAGATGGAAGAATTCATACTTAGAAATTTGCATATTATATTATCATCTCAGATTTTTGATTGGTTAATAGATTTGCTTCAAGCTGCATTAAGCAGTGTATCTTCTGTTAAATAAAACCAATGAAAATTCATCAACTTATTTTCCAATCCTCAATGTCCACAGACACTGCTGATAAAAGCATACTGGTGTCTATAGCGTTGGATGGCAACTGGTCTAGAAGGACAACTCTGAATCTAAAACCTGCGGAGGGTCGTTTGGGGACCTTGTGGCACGTAGGGAACTAGATCTCTGTATTCGGCACTTCAAAAAGTGTGGATGGTTCTGAACCACTATAATCAAATCTCATGGGCTGTTGGTTTCTAGGAATTGATGTGCTTGACCCTCATACGTCAAATTCGACGGAAGAGTCGAGTATATATATATATATATATATATATATATATGTGTGTGTGTGTGTGTGTGTGTGTGTGTGTGTGTGTGTGTCTGTGTGTGTGTGAAAAATGTGTGTACATAAATATAAATATATATATGTGTAATATATTATGTATATTATTATTTATATATTATATGTGCGATACTTATTAGAAAGCGCTCAGTATCAGAGATAGAGCTAACATATTTGATTGGATTGATGTGAGTTTGTGACCCTGGGTTTCACGCTTTTGCGATCGTCAGACAAACTGATTATTTTTTTTAAATTTTGGATTTATGTAGGTTGCGTATATTGGTGTTATTATGGAAGTTGTGAAATCGTCGTCGTGATGTCGCTCATGTTAACGCAAACATACATGCATGCCCGTACACCCGATGAGGTAGGCAGACACACATACACACGCGCGCTCGCCCACCGGGGCTCACACAAACATAAACATATGTGGACAGTATGGGACTTGACATATATATGTATATGTGTGCTGTTTACATATATACGCATTTGACTGTTGAATTTCAATGATGGGATGTGTATCCATTTCTCTCTTAAAAGCGTGAAACCCAGGGTCACAAACTCAGATCAATCCAACCAAATATATATATATATATATATATAGTGCGGCAGAAATACCTCCGACATAATCGTAAGACATTAGTAGTAATGATGTCTTCATCTAGCTAATGGCATATCATTATGCGGGAGGGATTTCTGTCGCATCATGTATATACATATACATATCTCAATAAATAGTAATAACAGTTTGAATTCCTCATATACAGTACTGTTCGATAAAAGTGACTCACCTGATTTTTTTACTAAAAATATTTTTGTCTATTGTTTTTGGGGTTAAAATAATTTGTAATCTTACTAATATAAAGAACCTTTCCCGACCACCTAGAAAAAAGTTTATTCACCCTAAGGTATTCTATTGATAATTATAAATTTGGATATAAATGAGATTCAGAAAAAAAACTGAAAAAAAAGTGACTCCGATATCGCATTCTAATGATTAAACTGGTAAATTTAAAGAACTTTTCACAAAATATTGAAAACTATTTTAACACTCAGAACAATATTCTAGAGAATTCTAGAACAGCTTAAATTAAATCTAGAGCATTCCAGAAAGCCTCATACAATATAAAAACAGCTTGAAATAGCAACTCAAGTCACTAACCACATATAAGGGTACAAACATGCATCAGAACCACTTAAGGCATCTATTATTGCCCTCTCAAAAGCAGGCAAGTCTACGAGAGAAATTGCAGAAATTGCTATAACCTCGCAATCAACTGTCTCTTTTGTGCTTAGGGCACAATGATGCCACTCCTGCTCCAAGGAAGGAAACTAGGGGACGAAAGAAAAAGGTTGATGATAGAACTGGTAGGGTGATCAAGAGAGAAGTTGCGAAGAATAGGACTATAACTAGTCAAGAAATTGCAGCCAGTCTAAGCGAAGAGCAAGGTGTTAGTCTTGCCTCTTCAACAGTCCGACAGAACAAGGCTACAAATCTTGTACACGAAGGTTTAAGCCGCTAAGAAGCAAAGCCAACAAAGCCAAGAGACTTGAATGGACTCACTATTACAAAAAATTCACCGTAGAAGACTGGAAGAATGTTCTCTTCTCCGATGAAACGAAAGTTGAGCTAAATTCAAAGGATAAGGTGAGTCTCTTTTATCAGCACTATATATATATATATATATATATATATATATATATATATATATATATATATATCAGAAATTATCCCCATCCCATCCCCTAAATCTCCAAGCGCCA